CTGCGAAGCCTATGGTAGCCTATGGTAGCTACTGCATCCTTTTAAATGACAGGGGAGTGTATGGAAACCTGGGTGAGAAACATGTTTCTCCTGTTCCAGTTTGAGAAAAAACATGTTCCACATGAGTAAATCTGCTGTAGTTTGGGTGTTAAGGTGTGATACAGCTTTGGTTGTCCAAAAATGTCTGGAGTAGGCTCAGAAGTATGGAGATGAATGCTCTACCCTGTGGGATGACTCTCATTGTGAAGTTTAGGGAGCCTAACAGTGATTGTAATTCTCCCCGGTTGCAGGAGCTGGTACGCATGTAATGATTGATGTCGTGGAGGATGCTAGTGATTTTTTCCTGAGGAAGGCTGGCTTCCATGGCCACATAATCTAGTTGTATCCCTCAGAAATTTATAACGGTGTCTGGAACCTCTGTTAACTTAGGTGAGACTGATACTCCTAGTGTATTGAATAACTTGACTGCTTTATCCAAGCTGCACGGGGGGCAGGCATTGCAGTCAATGAATAAAAAAATCATCTAGATAGTGGATGACGGTATGGCACCGGCACGTATGCAGGAGGAGCCAACACAAGGTTTCCGCAAAAGTTTCAAAAATTATTGTACTACTCTTCGACCCGAAGGTAAGCCTAGTGAAAAAATAATACAGACCTCTCCATTTAATGCTGTGCAGGTGCCATAACGATGGGTGAATGGGTAATAATTTGAAGGCGTTGACAATGTCCGTCTTGCTGAGCCAGGCCCCCATGCCTGCCATCAAAATAGTGTTTATGGCATTGTCAATTGTAGTGTACTGTAAAGAGAACTCTTCTGAGGGGCTCAGTGAGTTTAGACTTGGGACCACTAAAGAGTGTGGTGATGAGAGATCTATGATCAATCTCTGCTTACCCGAGTTTTTCCCGGAGACTTGGCCAATGGGACTAGTTCTCCAGTTGGAAAAAGGAGGCTCTGTGAAAGGCCCTAGTAAAAACTCTTGGTCAACTTCTAGCTGTAATAGCACCTCTACTGCCTCTGTGTCGGCCATGGCTGAATGAAGATTGTTACATTCTAATATTCCTGTTGGCATGTGTATAAAACCTGTGTGGAAACTCTGGGTAAAACCTGTTATAAAGAAATCTAAAAGGTGTTTTCAAGGATGACTGGAAAGTACACTAGCTAGAATACCAACATTAACAGAGTTCAAATACGGTTTATAATGCATTTTGTTAGGGTACGTGGATTTCGCATGTTCCCTGAAACAGTGAGAGCAAACATGCAACAGGCGACAGGCACTATAACAACATGAACTATCATTAAAATTATTGCAAATCTGAGACTTCCCAAGGTACACGATCGGGCAGTTTATCTTTGCCCTGTTTTTCAACCATTGCATTGCTCGAGATTGCTGTACTGGGGTTGGTGTCAGGTTAAACTAGACAGAAATTTGCTGAATGTGCGGCAGAAGCACAAATTGCACAAGCTGGGGTCCTTAGCCCAACAAAGTGTCTAAGGAAAAGCTCTGTGTCCTGTTGGCTCCAATCCGTACTGACATTGTATTGGGCCAGAGCTGCAGGCGCCCTCGCTGAGAATGACCGGTGGTAGTCATAAAAAGACATTCCACTGTATTTGTTACCCAGGTTCACCAGCTTGTGCATATAGAGATCCAGCTCCTCCCTTCTATGCAGGTGTACTGAACATAACACATCCCTATAGATACCGAAAGTGATAACAAAATCTGTGATTAACAGCTTTTTGCTGAGCCTACGGTCTCTAGACTTTAGTACCACCGAGATATCCCCATATGCGTATTTGCGATTCTCAACGACATCCTGGGAGGCAATCAGAAGGCAGACAAGATTAATGTCTTTATCTTCCAGGATGTACTTTTTGAGGCTTGCTGGTTTATAACATGCGATCTTGAAGCAGCAGGTACACAACATCACCTGATTATAACTGGGGCGGTGTTGGCAGTTCAGCCGTGAGAGGCCCTATTACTGTATTGGAAAGGCTACGAGCTTCCAGTCTCTCTAGCCTATCGTTGATTTGTCCCATGGAGGACACTAATGAGGCGATCATCGTGTGGAGGTTGGAGTCGTTTGAGCTACTCGTGGCCTCCCCTGCGTCTGTATTGTCCGTGTTGGTCTGCTCGGCTTTCCTGGCCATTGCTGGGAAAGGTATACTGCGCTTGCATAGTTGAGATGTGATGCGGGGGATCGTCCATGACCTGATGGATGTCAGGCTACCATTGTCGCCCTTGCGAGTAGGGGTAGTGGACCTGGCCGGAGTGCTGGGGACTGAGATATCGTCACCTTCATCAGGAATCTGAGACATACTGAAATATAGTAATAGTACTGTTTAGAACTGAGGACATACTGGCAAGCTAGCTAGTGCAGAGCAGTGAAACGATTCACTAGGTAGTGACAGGTGAGACCTTACTAGTTGCCAAGTGGCTTGAGAGGCTCTATCTAAGTATTGGCGCGACGGATATGTTTCCACCTAACGTTGTGGTGTGATGTTGGCCTCTCGGTAACCATTAGGCATCACATAGTAAGGGCATTACAGGTGAGGCCCTTTCTATGCAACAAGCGAGGCAGCTAGCTATGGTTTGGCCCATGGGGCGTATTACCTCTTGCGTGGAGGATGGGTGTTGGCCTCGCGGGACCACTGAGTCTAAGGCACAGAGTGCCTGAACCATGTACCTAAATGGCCACCTAATTTTCTATCGACCAGTAAACCTTCTACTTAAGGATAGGCTAATGGAGCGGACCGAGAGTAATGCACCTGTCGGTATGGTGCATGTTTAAAGATCCGCGCCAGTGAATAAACAGAGATCCCTACTAAAGAGGGAGGCCTAAACCAAAATGATGGGAGAGAAAAAGACCTATACACCTATGAATTAGGATTTGAGGTTTGAAGTGCCAAGCGCAGCTCTACTAGGAAACTTTGCAATCTGTAAAACATGACACATGACTTGGCAGAACCGTAAATTCCCCAGTGACTGAGCAAATGACCAGACACCTTAGACCTAATATATTAACCAGCCCGTGGTTTCAGAAAGAGCATATAAAATAGTGACATCCACAACCTTTGAAACCAGAGTTGAAAACAACAAGACATATATGTAAGGTGGCTGTTTGTAATAATTACAAGATCAGTGATATTGTAAACATAAAAAACACCAAAAAAAAGTTATGGATTTTGTAGCAATGATTTATTATAGATTTAGGAATTAGACTTAAAGGAACACTATAGTCACCTAAATTACTTTAGCTAAATAAAGCAGTTTTAGTGTATAGATCATTTCCCTGCAATTTCACTGCTCAATTCACTGTCATTTAGGAGTTAAATCACTTTGTTTCTGTTTATGCAGCCCTAGCCACACCTCCCTGGCTATGATTGACAGAGCCTGCATGAAAAAAAAACTGGTTTCACTTTCAAACAGATGTAATTTACCTTAAATAATTGTATCTCAATCTCTAAATTGAACCTTAATCACATACAGGAGGCTCTTGCAGGGTCTAGCAAGCTATTAACATACCAGGGGATAAGAAAATCTTAATTAAACAGAACTTGCAATAAAGAAAGCCTAAAAAGGGCTCTCTTTACAGGAAGTGTTTATGGAAGGCTGTTCAAGTCACATGCAGGGAGGTGTGACTAGGGTTCATAAACAAAGGGATTTAACTCCTAAATGACAGAGGATTGAGCAGTGAGGCTGCAGGGGCATGTTCTATACGCCAAAACTGCTTCATTAAGCTAAGGTTGTTCAGGTGACTATAGTGTCCCTTTAATTTGCATATATAACGTACAACTAAACCATGGTAGAGTGTAAAAGTACCTGACTTCAGCCAAAGAGGAATAAAACACCACGGAAATAGCATACTAATGACACGTGACTGTGTGAGACGTGTCTAGCAACTAAGCATAGCTTGTGACCCTCCGCAGTTCCCTTAAGGTACAACAGTAGCAGAACTAAAAAGCCCCCCGCTGAGGTATGCGAAAGATAAACATGGGGCATGGAGGCCCTATACATCCATAGAGTCTTCGTGCCCTTTAACCCGCCTAAACCTGCGACCGTGTCCGTGCGACTATGCCCCAATTTTGGCAGGAGCCGATTGGGTGGTACCAGTGCCGGCGTAGGTCGTGACTGGGAAACTATACCATAAATGGAGAGTCTGCTACGGCTGCAGAACTACTAACAGTGCTATAACAGACTACCCAACAGAAATGAAAAATATCAAACTGTAAAGACGTCACTGGGAGGCGCCTGGTGTGACTGCTTATCTGCCGGGACAGGATCCAGTCAGCACTTCCGTCAATGGTCATTTACGGAGCAGAAAGCTGCGGCAACGAAGTCTAGACTGACCACCTATCTGCCAGGACAGGGCCGCGATGAACCCGGATACAGACAGGTAGCGGAAATGACAGTGTGTAACGCAGCAGCTTGTCGAACCAATTACGGTAGGGTAGGGAAGGTGAGATTCCATTTTTAAAACTCCATAAGCCCCTCCCCCAACTTCAGGACATGCCTTCTTATATATATATATATATATATATATATATATATATATATGTGTGTGTATATAGATAGTCAATACAATGATAAAGAAAAATCTGCAAACCAGTCAAGACATAAGACTTACTTTTCCCACAGAAATCACAAATTTGCAGTGATGTTACTACCAAAGAAAATAGTTACCTGCGCTCTTCCCAAATCCCTATGCATATTTAAACAAATGGAGGTTATTTTGCTTCTCCAACGGCCATAAGAGACTTTAGTCCACCTGCCACGTCAAGGCAAACCTCTCAGGTGGGTCCTACACTAACTTTTTTACCTTGCTTCCTTGAGCTTCTGGCAAAGATATCTCTGAGACAGAAAGGGGTACTTTTTAATATACACCCCTACATGCTTATTAACCCCTAATAAGCAGGGCCGGATTAACATAGGGGCTGATGGAGCTGCAGCTCCAGGCCCAGGCCCATGGAATAGGCCCATTTTTTTTTTTTTTTTTTTTACACACTACTCTTAGGTTTGCCACCTGACTGGTATTTTAATGGCACAGATGGTATTTGAGGCTGCCTGGTCGTGCCGGTATTGCAGTAATACCGGCAATACAAATGCAGGTCATTTTCTCAGAATAAATGGAAATTACTCTGCAATACCAGCACCAGCCAGTAGGGGTCACTGTGTGTGGAGAGAGGCAGGGATAGGAAGTTACAGAATATCCCTGCTTCTCTCTACTACTCACTGATCCGTGGGGGAGCAGCTACACAGCACAGAGAGTCCAGACAGCAGCTCTACAGCTCAGGTAAGTGAGGGATGGGGGGAAAGGCAGCAGGGACACATGGGGACACTGAGACACTAGGGGACACATGGAGACACTAGGGGACATATGGGGACACTGAGACACTAGGGGACACAAACACTAGCACACAGACACTGGGAGACCTGGGAACACTGAGACACTTGGGGACACTGAGACATTAGGGGACACTGAGACACTTGGGGACATATGGGGACACAGACACTAGGGGACACAGACACTAGGGGACACTGAGACACTAGGACACATGGGGACACAGACACTAGGGGACACTGGGACACATGGGGATGCTGAGACACATGGGGATGCTGTGAGACATAGGGACATTGGGACACGGCGACACTATGTCCCCCAGCCAGTGTCCCTAGTGTCTCAGTGTCCCCAAGTCTCCCAGTGTCTGTGTCCCATGTCTCTCAGTGTGCCTTGTGTCCCAGTGTCCCCATGTCTATGTCCACAACTGTCCCCATGTCTCCCCAAGTGTCTGTCTCCCAGACAGTGTCCACTAGTCTCCCAGTATCCCCTAGTCTCCCAGTGTCCCCTAGTCTCCCAGTGTCTGTGTCCCGGTGTCTTAGTGTCCCCAAATGTTTCAGTGTCTCCATGTCTCCCAGTGTCTATGTTCCTAGTGTCTCAGTGTGCCTGGTGTCCCCATGTCTCCCAGTGTCCCTATATGTCCCAGTGTCCACATGTCTGTCCCCATGTCTCCCAGTGTCCTCAAGTGTCTGTCTCCCAGCCAGTGTCCCCTAGTCTCCCAGTGTCCCCTAGTCTCCCAGTGTCTGTGTTCCCATGTCTGTTTCCCTAGTGTCTTAGTGTCCCCAAATGTTTCAGTGTCCCCATGTCTCCCAGTGTCTGTGTCCCTAGAGTCTCAGTGTCCCCATTTCTCCCAGTCTCCCTAAATGTCTCTGTGTCCCCATGTCTCTGTGTCCCCGGGTCTCTCAGTGTCCCCATGTCTCTCAGTGTCCCCAGTATCCTAGTGACATGGGGACACACTGAGACATTGGGACACTGGGAGAAATGGGGACACAGACACTGGGAGACTAGGGGACTGGGCGACATGGGGACACTGACACTGTGATACATAGGGACACTGAGACACTGGGTGACTTGCGAGACTGAGACACTGGGAGCAAGACACTCAATCATCTATACAGCAGAATCAAACTGTGAGTAGTTTGTTGGTGATTTTACAGAATTTTCTCTGATGTCACTCCTTGTGATTTACATCATGTGATGTCACGCATAACTAATTATACAAATGATTAAGGCTGGTATTTTTTTCCAAGAAAGGTGGCAACCTTAACTACTCTTCACATACTCTTGCTTAAAGGAGCACTATAGTGTCAGGAACACAATCATGTATTTCTTACCCTATTATGTTAAAACCACCACCCTGGCCCCTTCTTGCCTCCCTAAATATAGTAAAATATTACTTGTATTCAATTCTGCAGCTGCTGGCTCAGAAGTGATGATCTGAGCAAATTACAATACTTCCCCATAGGATTGTCTGAGACTGTCAAATAGGCAGATCAGGGGCAGAGCCAGCACTAGTCCAACATAGCCCTGGCCAATCAGCATCTCCTCATAAAGATAAATTGAATCAATGCATCTCTATGAGGAAAGTTCAGTGTCTGCATGCAAAGGGTGGAGACACTGAATGGCAGTACTGCCCCAGGAAGCACCTCTAGCAGCCATCTAAGGAGTGGCCAGTGGAGTTATTTTCTCTGAAAAGACAGTGTTTACTGCAAAAAGCCTGAATGGAATGATTCTACTTACCAGAACAAATACAATAAGCTGTAGTTGTTCTGGTGATTATAGTGTCCCTTTAAGTTTGGAAGCTTAAGAGGGATGTATGGGAACAAAACTTGTGTGCACTGACTGACATTAAAGTTAGTTTAGGTAATGCAGACGTTGGTCTCTCTAACACTGTGGCATGTCCCTTTTCTTCTACACTCACTACAGACACCTTTTCTCTGTCTCAGACTATATACCAGGACCTTCTGCCTGCTAGTAAGAAGGTAAGGAGACAAGTGGACCAGCAAGTGCTAGGGGACAGTCCTTAGAAAGAGTGAGGGCATCATTAGACGCATTTATGTCAAGTCAAGGTGCTGCCTGCATAGTATGCCCTTAGTTGGACAGCCTGCAGGATTGGCAGGAAGCCTGACATGCATTCATGCCAGGCTGACCTTCCAATTCTTTGGACAAACATGCCCCCTTTTTGGGCATGTTCACCCCTTTTGGCAGGTCTTGTCACGTGATTCGTGGAAGTGGCACACCCTTTTACCCCGCCCATTGACTTCCTGCTTCACTGGACTCTGCTGTTAGGGGTTATGGACTTACTTGAAAGATTAAAGCATAAATTAGAGAGAAATTAGCATAGAGTATGTGTTTTCTTATAGCTGCATCCTATGAATTTCCCTCCAGCACCATCTCCATCAGATACATGACACTTGGGAGGTATGATTGTTTTAGTGTTTTTGGTCGATAAGATTCATAATTAGGCCCATCATAATTGTCAGCACCAGGCCCACTGTGCTCTTAATCCGGCCCTGCTAATAAGGAACACATGGGATGGGCGGCAGCATTGTAACACAGCTGTGTAATACAAAAGTAAATACAAATACAACAAAAAAAAAACTCCCATCACGTCTGGGCGGCAGCAACGACCACAGTACACATCAGCCCCAATACATACAGTAAAAACCAAAGGAAAAAGTTACTTGCACTCTTCCCAAATCTCTATTTAAACAAATGGAGGTTTTTATAATTTCTCCAATGGCCATGAGAGACTTTAGCCCACATACCAAGTCAAGGCAAACCTCTCAGGTGGGTCCTACACTAGCCTTTCACCTTGCTTCCTTGAGCTTCTGGCAAAGATATCTCTAATGAGACAGATAGATATCTCTAATGAGGAGAAACTAAATAACCTCCGTTTGTTTAAATAGTTTCTGCCGCCCAGGAGTGATGGGAGTTTGAGCACAGGACTTGGTTTTTATAGTGATGTTACTACCGCAAAGGATTCTGGGTGGGCATATGCAAATTAGTTCAACAAAGAATCATGTATGTAAGCTCATTGAGCAGGGCCCTCAACCCCTCTGTTCCTATGTGTCCAACTTGTCTAGTTACAACTACATGTCTGTTCGTCCACCCATTGTAAAACGCTGCGGAATTTGACGGCGCTCTATAAATATCATAATAATAATAATTTCAATTTTGCCTCATTCCATTTTAAACATGGCTTCCCCAAGGAGTCTGTGTTTGCTGTATACATATGTATAAATATATATATAAAAACGTATGCCAATACCACACTGTTTTACATGTACTACTGATCATGTTGTCTATATGATTATGTGCCCGTGTGGACTTTCGTACATAGGAAAAACTGATTTGACCCTACGGGACCGTATACGTGGACACCGGTCTGGAATTATTACAGCCTTCCGTGTCCAAAGAACAGACAAACCAGTAGCAAAACATTTTCTGGCAGTGCAACATCATCTGCCTACATTACAGTTCACAGCTATTGACCATGTCCCTCCTCTTCCTCATGGGGGTGACAGGTCTAAAGCTCTTTTACAGCGAGAGGCATCTTGGATTTACAAGCTGGACACTGTGGTCCCTAAAGGACTCAATGAGAATATAGTTTACTCCATTTTCTTATAAAGGAAAGCAGACTGGTTATTCTTACATGGGCTGATCCGTGGGGCTGGTTATCCATCAATGTTTAGTTGAATATGTTCGTTATCAATTTAGACACTTATTTTATTTGCAACAATGCCATTTGTATTGTTAGCATATTATATAACAGGGGTATCCCCTTTCGTTCTCACAGTATTAGTTAGGACACTTGATTTGGAACAGTACTTAAATTACACAAATTACACAATTCCCACCTATCCATCAAAACAAATTCAAATAGCATACTGACCGCAGTCCACTCTTTCAAATACTTGTTGTTAGACCCCAATCTATCTTTTGGCCTCCACCAAACTTGCATCTAAACTTTATCCAAAACTAGGTGCCCTGTACAGAAACAAATACTGCCTAAGCCCTACAGTAAAGGAAAAGATTGTACAGCAAATGCTGATGCCAATCATTGATTATGGTGATGTAGTATATGCATTTGCACCGCAATCCCACATTAATAAACTCAATACATTGTATAATTCGTTCTGCCGATTTGTGCTACAATGTAATTTCAGGATCCACCATTGTGACATGCTAAAAGAACTAAACTGGCTGTTGCTGGAATCCGGACGCACCCTTCATCTTTCCAGCCTTTTGTTTAAGAGCTTTTCTGGGAAACTCCCACCCTATCTGAGCAAAATGCTCTCCTCGGCTGTTCCCACCTCCTGTAACCTCCGATCCAGTACCAGCACTTTATTTAGTCTACCTCAATACAAAAATAAAGCGGCCCGATCCTCCTTTTCCTACAGAGCACCGCAATTGTGGAACGACCTCCCGCACACTTTAAAATCTTCCCCAAGTCTAAAGTCCTTTAAGAGATCCCTCTCTGCATACCTAAAAACAGAATGCACCTCTCATGGTTGATTATATATTTCCTACCTGTTCTATGTTAAATTGTGTATATTGTGGCGGAACCAACCTCGCCACTATGCACTGGAGAAGCCTGGTTGCTCGCCTGCTCCCATTAGACTATGGCCCTGCAGTTCAGACCTGTTATTTTCCCTGCTGAAAGGTTTATTCATGCCTTTCTGATGGGGTGTTCGGTAGATTCAATCTACCGAACAAACTACCGAACGATGGACCACCTGGGAACTGGAGTGTGCCGTCAATTGACCTCCCAGAAGCTGCGGTTAACCGCAGCTTAATTGATGAACGCTGGGTGGCCTTTGTTCGGTTGCCGAACACGTGTCAGCGGCCATTTTACCTCCCGAACAGCCAGCGGTGTTCAGCGCCCAAACTATGGAACTGAAAACGGACACTTATTGACGCGAACACCGCTGAGCCGCCAGCCTCTTTACCTCTCCCTTCGGTAGCGGAACCGAATGACTGTTCAGTCGGTAGTTTAACCGGATGAACAGCATCACCCCAGATAGCTAAGCCATGGAGCCTATTCGTGTAACTAAAGACTATGTGAAAGACTTTGGCTCCATGGCGATTGAAATGTATGTATGTGATCTGAGTGCCATTCCGTAGTAATGTGCGCTCAGATCTAAGCTATCTGGGGATATGTAGAATGTATATGTTTTATGTAATAAATGTAACTGTATGTAATTTTATGTCTTTTACTGAAAATGTGTGTAATGGAGTTTTGCCTCTGTCCTTGGAGATAATTGGATTACTTCCCAATTATCTCCAGGACAGAGAGGAGGGATTGTGATGCATTATGGGATGGTTGAAATGTGTAAGTCTGTGATTGGTTCTTGTACCCTTTGTGTCCCAGTCTTCCATCTGGTTCCTTAGGGGAGTGTCCACCAGGTGGGAAACCTGCATTAAAGCCGGGCAGTTAGCCCCAGTAAACCAGATTCTACTGGACCCTCAAAACGAAGTGTCATCTCGTCTTTGGGGGGATTTACTGTATGCTGTTAGAGACTGATTGCCAGGAGTGTAAGCCGCTTGGGTGCTTTTCCTGTTCGTCTGCTAACAGCTATTTGTGTGTCTCCAGTTCGGGAGTTTGGAGTGCTACTTGGTATGCAGTTCGGGAGTTTCGAGTATTCCCTTGGTTGCAGTTCGGGAGTTGGTGAATTCGTGGGTTTGCAGTTCGGGAGATTGGTGCTTGCAATAGCTGTCTGTGCATCTGAAAAAGGGGAATATCGCCTAAATGGTTTTTAACCCCTTGTGGGCGAAAACGGTCCGTTACATATATAATGTGTATTAATATTGTTTTGGGTTTTTTTTGTACCATAATGTATCAATGCAATGTTTTGTGAACCCAGGACTTACTTGAAAACAAGAGAAATCTCAATGAATCTTTCCTGGTAAAATATTTCATAAATAAATTTGAGGCTCTAGCATCTAAGTAGAATTATTGTTATTCCATAATGAGAGTATATTGCATTAGATTGATCTTTGCCAGTTCTTTTATATGCTTTACAAGCAAAAAAAGGGGGATGATCTGCTGAACCAATCATAAATAAAACAACATAGCGTATAACTGTGTATGATGACAAATTGTAGAAGTTATATTCACAAATGGCCACTCACACTTTTGCTGAAGTTTGCAAGCCTTGAATATTTTCCTTTTCAAAATAGGAATTCCAAATCCTCTGTCTGGGTTAAAATCTCCATAGATATATTGGCATGTATGTGCTCAGGAAAGATCATTGTTCATTGTTTATTTGTACCTGTTGATCACACACCATACAAGTCCCTGAGGAAGTCCTATTTGGTTGGATGAAACGCGTAGGACCCCTGGTGGTGACATAGAGGGACTACACTGATGATTTTATATCTTGATGTAAGTTATTAAATACTTTTTTGTACTTCACTCTGAATGTGCATCTTATATTCTTTTATATACATTTCTTTCCTGAGCACATACATGCCAATATATCTATGGAGATTTTAACCCAGACAGAGGATTTGGAATTTCTATTTTGAAAAGGAAAATATTCAAGGCTTGCAAACTTCAGCAAAAGTGTGAGTGGCCATTTGTGAATATAACTTCTACAATTTGTCATCATACACAGTTATACGCTATGTTGTTTTATTTATGATTGGTTCAGCAGATCATCCTCCTTTTTTTGCTTGTGTTGTGTGGAAGACAAGAGGAAGTCTTTTGGGATACTATTGGAAATCTTATCCTATACAGGAAAGTTCCTTTCTGTTGATATAAATTAAGCACTTATTACACTGTGGTGGGTGTTCACACACATTGTTTCTTTCTGTACTTTTATATGCTTTAACCTGGGGTTTGGGACTTAGTTCACTTGCTTCTTCGATCTACACCGGGATGTTTGGTCTCTTAGCAACCACGTTTATTTCCAGCAGTCAGAACATGATGACGTCACTGCGGCTTCCTGCACTTCTGGGTCGGCAGCAGTCTGAAGTTGTTGGGTGTTCACTAGATCTTCACTCACATTATTGGCCAGGTATTTTGGCCACTTTCTTACTGTGAGTTAGCCATCTTACTTTTTATTACTATTATCATTTTACTTTTT